ACAACAAATCAATCAACAAAAATTCTCTACATACATTGATCCCATTGTAATGACCCGGTCATTTTCATTCCTCTCATTTTTTCAGATTTTCACGGATATTTTTTTTCCGTTGGTCTTTTGCTTTCTGAGTTCAATTTCTTGTTACTTAGTGTCATCTTGAGTGCTCGGGAATGGTTTTCGAAACTCTTTTCCTTGGATTGACGACTTCCTTTGAGGATCGAGTCATTTTCACATTTTCACTTTTGTGACACTATTCACTTTTCGTCTTTTCTCGGTTATCACTTTGTTGGAATAACCTCACTTTTCATTTTCGGATTTGATTCTAGTTTTACATGCATCCATGATATTTAAATTCCATTCTATGTGCATTTTTACTTTCTTATAAAAGCATGCTAAGTATTTACTTTTCTTGTAAAGGGAATGGATACATAAATTTTGGTAAATATTCATAATTTGAGGGGTTTTGTGTAATTAATAAAGTAATTATTTTTCGTCTTAGGGACCATTTTGCAATTTAATTTGGAAGATATTTTTAAAAAGGACCTTTTTGTAATTTTTGAAAAGTGTGACAAGTGTCACACACTCATTGGTCCACTTGTTGACATTTGTGTGGAAACACTTTAATGCCTTGGATGATGGCATGTGGAGGATGGAGATTCAACCACTTGTTGGCTTAGGATTGGTGCACTTGTTGGCTTGGATGGTTGACAAGTGTAGGTTTGAAATTAAGCTTAGGATGGAGCCTTGGATGAGTGACAAGTGTATGCTCCAAATTAAGTCTTGCAATTATTTTTGGGCCACTTTAGGATTATGGTTTTAAGGAGGGGTTTTTGTGCAATTGACCATAGATGTGTGTGTTGACCATGGTGTAGGATCATATAGTGAGTAGAGGATTTCTATTTCCTCCACTCACCCATTTTCACATTATGTCATTTTATTCCTTACAAGAAAACCCTAGCCTCCATGGATGGAGCTTGAAACCTTAGGCCTTGATCTTAATTTTTGATGGCCTTCCACTCATCGTAGACCATGAAACTTGGAACACTTTTTGTTCCCTTCATCCCCTTGAAGGGTTTGCCATCTTGTGTTGATTTGCCTTGGATTCTAGAAAGACACTTCTCTAGTGAGGTAGGGGATGTTAGATGGTTATATTTTTGTTTCTTGCATGCTATTGATGCTTATATAAGTTGTATGCATGTCTTTTGCTAATTTGAGAAATTAGTGATTTATCATATCTTGCATATAAATCATTTTAGACTTGGTAAATGGCATGGCCATGAGTTGATCTTTGATATATATTAATTTGGTATGATTTAGATGAGTTTTCAAATCTAGAGATTAAATGGATTTAATTTGATTTAAATTTTAGTAAATTGTATTTTACTTGTATTCCATTTTAGACTTGAGATATGGTATGACTATGATTTGGTGCTTGATATATATTAATTTGGAATCATTTGAATAATTTGTGAAATCTAGAGATTTGATTAATTTAAATTAATTAAATTCTATATGATGCTATCTTGCTCATTTGACACTTTTGATTTGATATATGTAATGAGCATGCTATGTTGTTTAACATATATTAATTTGAGGTTATTCGAATTTGATTTGAAATCTAGAGAATTTGATTACCTTATTTAATTAAATTCTATCTAATGGCTCTATGGATCTATTGGTATTTTAGAAGTTGTTTTTATATTCAAATCATGGACTTTAACTTGTTATGTATTCACTTTGTTGTGTTTTGAGCATTAGACAACATTGTTGTTATATTTATATTCATGAAAACATGTTTTCTTTATGGAATATATTGATGCCATGTGTAATGAATTGCACACTTTGTAATTGACATTATATATGTCATTTTAGAATTGAAACTCTAAGGCATGGATTGTGTGGTTTCAACCTACTTGTGCATGGAAGGTGGTTTTCGTGCATTATATAAATTACGTATAAGTTGTGAACTTATTTGATTATTTTGGAGTCTTGAGACATTGTTACAAGTGACATGGCTAAAGTTTGGCGTTAGTGCGGGAGGTATGAGTTCTCCCCAATTGAGATAGTACGCACTAGGGTGGTCTTCCCAGCGGGTTAATGCTCGGAATAACCATTTAGTTCTCGGCGGAAATTCGAGACGTGATGTCCAAGTCTTCCACTATTTTGTTTTCGCATTCAATTCAAAGTTGACAATTATGTTTATATTGTGACTTGTGGTTTTGGCTATTGGCGATTTTGATGTTGTTAAGTACATCTATGTTTTATGATTTTAATGAATTATTGTAAATTTTGATGTTGTTAAGTACATCTATGTTTTATACTTTTAATGAATCATTGTAAATTTTGATGTTGTTAAGTACATCCATGCTTTATGATCTTAAGGGATCTTTGTAAATTTTGATGTTGTTAAGTACATCTATGTTTTATGATTTTAATGAATCATTGTGAAATTTGATGTTGATAAGTACATCTATGATTTAATGTTCAAATGTAGCTTAGGAATGATCCTATAGATTCATTTGGAACATAGACGTTAGGTGACATGACCTACTTTAGTTGTTTTGCACTTTAGATATCAAGTTGATAACTTTGAGAATCTATATCTAGTTGCTTTGTATAGCATGTTCTTATGTTGTTTGGAATTGCATGAATGATGTGATTTATGCTAGAAATGAGCTAAGGTAGCTTAGGATGCTCCCTGAGTCTCACCTTGACATAATCGTTAGGTGGCATGAGCCTCCTTTAACGTGTTTCACCTTACGGTGTTAAAATTGTAAAACGTTAGGTCGATGCTTGCTCATTTTCTACGAGTAGCTTTATGTTACTCACCCACGTAGTGGAGACATTTTTCAGGTTTAGGAATCAAGGTTGAGATTCTCATTGTGCTTGGATGGTTGTGGACTTAAAGATTTCCATTCTTGTAAAGGTTGGCTTGAATGCCATTTGTAGCTTTATATATCAAAATGTGTATATTTGATTCTATATATGTAATGTGTACATGAGTACACTCTTTACAATGTATTTGACATGTACGAGATGAGGCTAGAGGCCAATGACATGTATTTTGTATCCTATGTAAATTTTGACTTCATGAGATTTTATGAAAACATTAAAAAATCACAAGTTATTGTTTCACCATGGGTGTATTGGGTGTGGGAATTTCACTTTCATTCTTTCGTAGGGTCTTATTACTCATGTATGAAGTGTGGCCAAGGGCCAAACGGTCATTTGAAGTCAATTGTTACTTTTAGATTTCAAAATTACCATTTCAAGTTCATTTTCGCCTTTTTGGTCGTTGGGAGTTCGAATTTTGACTCGACCATTTTCGAGAGCTGCGGACCATTCCCGCGCGCTCAAAATCACCATTTACATTTGCGTGAATGATCGTTTTCATGAAAAACCCTTTCGTTTGTGTTTTGAGCCTCCTATGGATTCATTTCACCTTTTTGTTAAAAAATTCGGCTTAAGGGCATTTTGGAAAATTCCTTTAGGAAATAAATTCCGTTCTCAATTCTGTCACAGAGAAAATGTGATTTTAGGGGGAGTTTCTTCATGACATTTTTCCAAAAAATGTCATCTTGACCTCGAAAACTATGTCACAAACTCATTTTTCTGCTAAAACACTGTTTCTGCTGCATTTTGGGTGTTCTGTTCAAGTTGAACCGGTTCAAGGTGTAGTTTTGGTTTAGCTTGGGTATACTGCCAATGTTGAACCGGTTCAAAGAGGTTGAACCGGTTCAAGTCCTTTAGAGTTTTCAGTTTTGGTCATCCAATTTCAATCTGATGTAACTTCTTTGTTTTAACTCCGAATTGGTCCGTTCTTAAGTCTAAATTGACCGCATCAAAGTAAGCTTTCCAATGGTACTAATTTCAGTTTCAAATTCTTCTCCTAGCTCATGATATTCACGTTTTAGTGACAGGGTGTCGGATTTGGTTCGAACCGGGATAGGGTTCTTCTGGGATTTCATTTCCTATGGCCTTGAGACTTCATGTGAAGTTACCAAAGGATGTTTTTGGATGTTTTTAATCTCATTTGACTTGTTGGGATTCAAATTCCTTCCTCTTAGGGTAAAATGACCATTTTACCCTTGGTCCTTCTTTTGGTAGGGTTTTGATACCCTTGTCTTCATTTTGCTTCTGCTGAGTCTCGAAATTCCTTGAAGGGCCATTCTTGTGTCTTAGGGATGATGTACATCTCTAAGGACTTGGTTTCGTTTTGCTTCCGTATTTTAGATCCGCTTTGGGTCATCACAGGACACACCCATGTTTGAACTATATGCAAAGTAAAAGTAAATTGCCTCCACGCGGGCTCATGATTTATCTATGAAATGAAAAACTTGCCACCACGCGGGCCGACGATTTAACTAGAGATTGAGTTAGAAAGATCTCACAAAGGGTCCTTAAGCAACTTCAATTAAACTTTTAAGTTTCAAGCCTTGCTATGCTTTGCAAATTTTTTTATCATTTACGACGTTGTGGGGGGCATATGTATCATTCATAATATGTGTACGAACTTTTATGCATTTTTGTGTATATTTGCATTCATTTGGGGCATGTATGGTATTTGATCTGCTTTGGGTGTTTTTGTTGCAGGTCTGCTACAATACCCAAATTTTGGCCTACAATATGTTTGCTTGGACCTGTTTTGTTATAAATAATGCTACAACAGAGTGAAAAATTGGGACAAAATTTGAAACACCTTTTAGGCGTTTTAAGATGTTGCAACACTGTTTTGGCCCAATCAACAGCTGTAGCGGTGGAAGCAATATTACCAATCTTAACTTAAACCTACTTCACATATAAAAGATTCGTTACAACAAATTAAGTAATTTTTGCTCTAACATTTCTCTCTCATATTTCGTGCATTCTGGGAGGCGATTCGATCGACACAGAGCTGCGATCCATTCTTAGGATGATACAGGGTCGAGATCTGCCACTTTGAGTGAATAGTATCACCGATCTTTGCTATTTTCTTGTTTTCTTCTATAAACAAGGCATGTTTGATACATTTCAATCGTAATCATTGACATATATTGAATATATGTGATGTTTTCGACTTCTTTCTTTGCATTTTATGATTCAAAATTGACATATTTTGACAAATATTACATGATTCGATCGTTTTTTGAAACTGGATTGAAATTAATTTGAAGCCCTAATTTTATTTTTCATATTTTTTTGAAGGACAATCACAAATTATTTTAGTTCTCATGTTGGATTTGGTTATTTTTCTTCTTAAAAGGAAATACAAGAATTTTACATCTGAGTTTCACACATTTGGGGCGTGTCTAGGCGAATTTGTTGAACATATATAATGTTTTGTACTTGTTTCTTCGATTTTTGTGGTTCATAATGGACATATTTTAAAAAAATATTCCCGATTTGAGGTTTTTTAAAACTAATGTGAATTTTTTGAACCCCTAATTTTTTTTTTTTTTTTTTTTTTTTTCATAAGTACTAGAACTTGCAGTGTTATAATGTTTAATTTTCTAATTATATTGTGCCTGAGATTAGGTTGTGTATACTGCACTTTGGTTCTTCTTCTATATATGTACTATACAGTTCAATTGAGTTGCTCAAATTATGTAATTATCCAACCTTTTTTTGAAAAAACTGGATGGCGGAATCCATCCCTCTTGCAGGAGCAAATATTAGGATCGGTTGGTTGTGGAGTGTGTAGGATCCTCTAATGGTAGTTTACAGCGATGGTGGTAATGATTTTTGCTGCAGATTAGGTAGATTGGTTAACAATTCCCGAGTTTGTAGTTGGGTTTTTGGACATGGAATTAATATTCCAGATCACTTGTCGGAAGATTATCCATCGTCGCCGTCGAGTGTGCCGGAGTTTGGGTTACTTCATCAAGGTCAACTTAAAAAATGATGCATTGTCAGACGTCTGTTTTGTTGTCTGGATTCATGATTGTGTTATCCTATTTGCGTGGTGCCTAAACTGGGAGTGGTTAATTGGGTCTGAGTGAATTTTCTAGTGGTTTGGAGGAGGGTGTAGAATCATGTGGGTCTGCTTAGTTGTGTCCCAAGCCTAGTCAATCCTAATGAGACTGTGAGGATCGTTTTTTTTTTCCTCTATTTTTTTTTCCGTTTAATTTCGTGTTCGGGCCATGTGGGGGCATGGATTGGGTCAATTGCTTGGGAATTTTTCCCGGCACTATTCATTTATTCCATTAGTGTCACATTTATCATTTACAACATTTTTGAGGCATATGTATCATTCATGAAATGTGTTGGCACTTTTGTTAGTGTGTATATTTGCATTCATTTAGGGCTAGTTTGGTATCTGACGTGCTTTGGGTGTTTTTGTTGCAGGCCACTACAGTACCCAAATTTCAGCCTAGAATATGTTTTGCTTGGACATGTTTTGTTATAAATAGTGCTACAACAGAGAAAAATTGGACCAAAATTTGAAACACCTTTTAGGTGTTTTAAGTTGTTACAAAACTGTTTGGGCCCAATCAACAACTGTAGTGGTGGAAGCAATGTTGCTCAACTTAACTCAAACCTACTATACATATAAAAACCTCATTATAACAAATTAGGTCATTTTTTATCTAACATTTCTCTCTCCTCTTTCATTCATTCTGGGAGGCGATTCGAGTAACACGAAGCTGTGATCCATTCTTAGGTTGATACAAGGTTGATACAGAGTTGAGATCTGCTGCTTTGAGTGAGTACCATCACCGATCTTTGTTATTTTCTTGTTTTCTTCTACAAACAAGGCATGTTTGATATATTTCAGTTGTAATCATTGAAATATAATGAATATATAAGATGTTTTCGACTTACTTCTTTGATTTTTTTTTTTTTTTTTTTAAAATTCTAAATCGACATATTTTGAGAAATATTACAAGATTCAATTTTTTAAAAAAACTGGATTGTTTTGAAACCATAATTTTATTTTTCATATTTTTTTGAAGGACAACAACAAATTATTTTTGTTCTGATGTTGGATTTGGTTGGTTTTCTTCTTTAAAAGGAAAAACAAAAATTTCCATTCGGGTTTCACATAGTTGGGGCATGTCTAGCGAACTTGTTGAACATATGTGATGTTTTTTACTTGTTTCTTCGATTTTTGTGGTTCATAATTATTAGTACCTGAGTTACTTTAAGGTTTGCTCTTTTAATATCAAAAGCATGATCATTTTGAGGTTTGCTCATTTAACGTCAAAAGCATGATCATTGTTCACCTTTATAATGAACAAGGGTAGGATGGTAATTTCTAAGGTATATCAATCAGTTACAATGTTGTTGATAAAGGCACATTGTATCAGAGATTCATATCACAGGGCCAAATTTAGTTTAATTCTACTTCAGCATATGTATTCTGGCCTCATTTACTCACAGGGGTATTTCTGTCTTTATACATGTGTAGTGAAATATATATATTTTGGGGAAATTGTGAAATATATATATATATATATATATACATATATATATATATATATATATTGTATATTGGCTAATTTCGTAGTCAAAACAAGTTCGATCGAATTGTAAAATTTTGGTTTAGAATTTCAAGGTTGAAGATCGGATGCGGATTTGAAGAAGTTCAAGTGTTCATGGTTTACTACACTCCGGAATGATGAGAACAATGCTTTAGGAAGGTATATGAGTGAGTGAGAACACTTTAGGGAGTTTAGAACATTGAAGGAAACAGAGTTTTCACTTCTGTCCATTGGGAACCGGTAGGAGAATCTTTGAACCAGTACCAAATCTTGGTTCACTGCAAAATTCTTCACTACCCTCCTTGAACCGGTGCCATAGTTGGGAACCGGTAGCTAAAGTGCGTCGGAAAGGCTTTTGACCTTCTTGAACCGATACCAAGATTTGGGAATAGGTTCCAGAAGTCTTGACAGCATCAGAATTTCAGTTTCTTCTTTTGATTGTTTCCTTTTTGAACTAAACTTCCTTCTAAGTCCTATGCGCGAAATTTCTATATTTTCAGAGGGATTAGGACATTCTAAACTCTATATAAATCCTGATAGTCATGTAGGTTTATACACGGTTTTTGCATACAAAATTCAGATTTATTCTTTGAGAGATATTTTTATTCAGAAAATCAATCTGATTTTAATTTTATTTTTGAGAGCACACACATAAGCACAAGAGTGATTTAGGAGTGTTGTTCTCTATCTCATCGAAATTGAAGATTTAGAAATTCTGGAAAAGCAGAATTCATTCGTTCTTCGTCAAATTCAGATCTAGAAGAAAAGGGGTGAAACGATCACACTTTGAAGGGGTCAAAATATTCATGGAGTGTTGTTTGATCTACCCGTAACTCTTCTATAGAGATCAAGTACCTCGAGAGCTGTTGGATGAGGGAGCCGCAAAGCCAGGGATTGTCAGTGATTAGTTTTCGGTAGAATGATAGGGTGTGAGAATGAATCAAAGTTCGGTATACTTTGTTTTAAACATTGTGGATCGTTTATCTCAGGACTGCATAGTCCAACGAGGTTTTTCATGTTACAATTGATCTATTCTACCAATTGGGGTTTCCTCGCTAAAAATCCTGGTGGCATCTCGTAAACTCTATTTACTTTACTTGCACTTTATTTTTTGCTTTGTGGTTTGATTTTTGTTTTATTTTAGTAAAATTAAAATAAATAAAAATTGCATAAAAGAGCAAGTTAAATCTATTCACCTCTTTAGGGTATTAATCCATGTTATATTCCACAACCATTCTGCTGCGCACCAACTCTCAACAAGTGGTATCAAAGCCATCCTCTATACATTGAGTTAATCCTTGTGGAATTTTTTTTTGAAATATAAAATTATTTTTGTTTTCAAAAATTCATGATGGAAAATCGTATGAATAAGGGTGAATTGCATCTTCTTTTTGATGGTTTAAGTTTTGATCTTGTTTTTAATGGTTTAAGTTCTAATGAGGAACTTTCTCGTTTATCTAAAAGATATGAAAGACTCCTTAAAAATAAGAAATATGTTTTTAGTACTTTTTTTGCTCATGTTGATAATGATACTGCTAATAATTCTTCTTTTTATGTAGGAGATTCTACCAAATTTGGAACATTAAACAAGGTTGGTTCTTATAATTCGGATGATCAAAAAATTGATGGAGAACCAAGTGAAAACAATATATTAAAAATCTTTGAGGCAATGTTAAAGGCTAGTCAGAAGTAGTTTGAGGAACTGGAGCTGATGAAAAAGGAGAATGATACCTTGAAGATGGAGAATAAGCAAAAACAAAAATTGTTTGAGGAGAACAAAGTTGAAATTCAGAATCTTCAAGGTAAAGTAAAAATTCTAGAGAGCAAGGTAAGTCAAGCTAATTCTGCTAGAAAATCTTTAATTGCCAAATTTAATTTTCTTAAGCTTGAATTGAAAAAGTCACAAGAAAAATTAATTGTTTTTATTTCTAGGCAGATTAAGCATGATAAGATGATTAGTGTTGGTAAGCATGTAGATGATAAAACTGTATTAGGTTTTAATGAGGCTTCATCTAGTAAAAATGGTCAAAACTATTTTTGTTAAACCCATGAACTTAAATGTGCCTATTGGTAAGCCTAAACTTTTTGTTGAGCCAATGCATGCTAAGAATATGTCCAAAGTGCTTTATTGTTCTTATTGTGGTAGAACTGGACACAGTCAACACTATTGTTATAAAAAGAAAAAGGGATAATTCTTATTTTAATTTTCATGATTATAATTCCTTTGCACAAAATAGGTTTCATGCTAGAAAGCAATGTAATTGGAATAAACCTAGAAGTTTTTGTGCTAAAAGCAATCACATAAGAAAAAGAATGTTCTTGATGTTCCTAAAAAATCTCTTCAAACGTTGAATGTGAAAGCTATTTGGGTGAAAAAAGAGGATTTGAAGTTGTCGATGCCGATAGATGCTACGAAATTTGTTTCCAATAGGTCATTGGGTGCAAAACCCCTGGAGTAAATCCTAAAGAGGTTTTATAGTCATGGACTATGCTTTGATGAATTTCCATTGGACCATATCTTGTAGTTTAGGATTTAGGTTGTTTTTCTTTCATGAGAAAGTGATGATCATGTTTTTCTTATCAATGCATGAGTGATAATTATTTCTCTTGAATTAATTATTTTTGAAAGCAAATTAGGGAAAAATGTTTATTTGATGAAAATATTGTTAATGTGTAATCTATATGTTGAAAGACAATTTACTTTGGTTATTTTTTTTTAGAGATGAGTCTCTTGAGTTCATATTTTTTATGTGCACTAGTCCAACTCTGAGAAAATTTAATTGAAAATCATTGTAAAGTTGACTAGGTCATATTGCTCATAAAAGATATAAAGGTTATTATTTATTTTTTTTTTTTGAAAAAAAAAATGTGTTTTTTTTTTTTAACAAAAAATTGATGAAATTTCAGCATAAAAAGAAAAGAAAAAATCAAAAGAATGCTGAAAATATTTGCTAAGGAAAAGGCTATCTATTGAGAATAGTTCGAAAGCTCTTACTAGACTTTGAAGAGGAACTAATTGAGTAAAAAGAAATGAGGAGATAAGTCGAAATAGGGAATTGCTATCTACTTTTTAGAGTGAAAGCTGCATTGCTTAGTAAAATTTGCTCAAAATAATTTTATCTGGATGCTTTTCGATCAATATGATTTAGACAGTTGGTCAATGTGATTTGATTGAAATTTGATGAGATTGGATTGCGCGCACACACACACGTGAACTTGTTAGGCAAATTTCTAAATCTTCATAAAAATTGCAAGTTGAATTTCATGTTGTGATTGTATACTTGAGAATTGATTTGATTAAATAATTTACGATGTCTAAAAATTTCGTGTTTTTAAATTCTCTTAAATTCGTCAGAGTTTTTTGGATCTCATATATGCTTGAAATTCATGAAAATTGCTATCTCATAATTTTTGTTCAAATATTAGAAAAATGAAGAAAAAAAATTGAAAAATAAAAAAAATCTAAAAAGATTTTCTTTTAGTTTTTTTTTGGAATTTTCATTTTGGATTGGATGGAGATATCATGTTTGTGATTTTGAGCATGGTTGGTTCTATTAATCTTATGGAAGTGTGCATATTTGAGAGGGAGATTTTCTAGAATTGAGGGTGATATATATATATATATATATTTACATATTGATATATATTAATTGTTTATCTTTCTTAATTAAACTTCACGGGTAGTTTTGTAAAGTTAATGTGCAGATTACAGGTTGGAGAATCTTTGAACTGGTGCTAAACCTTGGTTCATAGCAAAATTCTACATTGCCCTTCTTGAAACGATACTACATTTGGGAACCGATAGCCAAAGTGCGTCGAAAAGGTTTCTGACCTTTTTGAACCGGTACCAAGATTAGGGAACTAGTTCCAGAAGTCCTGACAGCATTAGAATTTTAGTTTCCGGTTCTGATTATCCTTTTTGAACCAAACTTCCTTCCAAGTCCTATGCACTAAAATTTTTATATTTTCAGAGATATTAGGAAAGTCTAAACTCTATATAAACCCTGATAGTCATGTAGGCTTATATACGGCTTTTGCATACAAAATTCAGATTTATTAGAAAGCTATCTTTAAGAGAGATTTATATTCAGAAAATCAATTTGATTTTTCTAATTTTATTTTTGAGAGTACACACATAAACAAAAGAGTGATTTAGGAGTGTTGTTCTCTATCTCATCAGAATTGGAACATAATTGAAGATTCAGATATTTCGGAAAAGCATAATTCATTCTTTGTCAAATTCAGATTTAGAAGAAAATGGGTGAAGCGATCACACTTTAAAGGAGTCAAAGCATTCGTGGAGTATTGTTTGATCTACTTGCAACTCTTCTACTGAGATCAAGAGTAAGCCTAAGGTCGAGAGCTGTTGGACGGGGAAGTCGCAAAGTCAGGGATTGTCAGCGATTGGTTTTTAGTAGAACGATAGGGTCTGAGACGGAGTCAAAGTTCGGTATACTTTGCTTTAAACATAGTGGATCGTTTATCTCAGGACTGCATAGTCTAACGAGGTTTTTCCTGTTACAATTGGGGTTTCCTCGCTAAAAATTCTGGTGTCATTTCTCAAACTCTATTTACTTTACTTACACTTTATTTTTGCTTTGTGGTTTGATTTTAGTTTTATTTTGGTAAAATTAAAATAAGTAAAAATTGGATAAAAGAGCAAGTTAAATTTATTCGCATCTCTAGGTTATTTATCCATATTATATTCCACAACCATTCTGTTGCGCACCAACTCTTAACAAGTGGTATCAGAGCCGTTCTCTATACATTGAGTTAATCCTTGTGGAATTTTTTTTTGAAATATAAAATTATTTTTGTTTTCAAAAATTCATAATGGAAAATCGTATGAGTAAGGGTGAATTGGATCTTCTTTTTGATGGTTTAAGTTCTGATATTGTTTTTAATGGTTTAAGTTTTGATGAGGAACTTTCTCGTTTATCTAAAAGATATGGAAGACTCCTTAAAAATAGAAAGAATAAAAATTGTAGTAAAGGAGATTTTTCTAAATTCAAAGATACAAAAAATATGAAAGATACTTCTAGTGCTTTTCTTACTCATGTTGATAATGATATTGCTAATAATTCTTCTTTATTGTGTAGGAGATTCTACCAAATTTGGAACATTAAGCAAGGTTGGTTCTTATAATTCGGATGATCAAAAAATTGATGGAGAACCTAGTGAAAACAATACATTGAAAATCTTTGAGGAAATGTTAAAGGTTAGTTAGAAGCAGTTTGAGGAACTGGAGCTGATGAAAAAAGAGAATGATACCTTGAAGAAGGAGAATATGGAAAAACAAAAATTGCTTGAGGAGAACAAAGTTGAAATTCAGAATCTTCAAGGTAAAGTAAAAATTCTCGAGAGCAAGGTAAGTTAAGCTAATTCTGCTAAAGAATCTTTAATTGCCAAATTTAATTTTCTTAAGCTTGAATTGAAAAAGTCATAAGAAAAATTGATTGTTTTTACTTCTAGGTAGATTAAGCATGACAAGATGATTAGTGTTGGTAAGTATGTAGATGATAAAACTGTATTAGGTTTTAATGAGACTTCATCTTCTAAAAAGGATCAAATTGTTTTTGTTAAATCCATGAACTTGAATGTGTCTATTGTTAAGCCTAAACTTTTTCCTGAGTCTATGCATGCTAAGAATATGTCCAAAGTACTTTATTGTTCTTATTGTGGTAGAACTGGACACAGTCAACACTATTGTTATAAAAAGAAAAATGGATAATTCTTATTCTAATTTTCATGATTATAATTCCTTTGCATAAAATAGGTTTTATGCTAGAAAGCAACGTAATTGGAATAAACTTAGAAGTTTTTGTGCTAAAAGCAATTCACATAAGAAAAAAAATGTTCTTGATGTTCCTCAAAAATCTCTTCAAAAGTTAAAGGTGAAAGCTGTTTGGGTGAAAAAAGAGGATTTGAAGTTGTCAATGCCTATAGATGTTACGAAATTTGTTTCCAATTGGCCAATAGGTGCAAAACCCCTAGAGTAAATCCAAAAGAGCTTTTATGGTCATGGTAATGCTTTGATGAATATCTTGTTTCCATGGAACATATCTTGTAGTTTAGGATTTAGGTTGTTTTTCTTTCATGAGAAAGTGATCTTCATGTTTTCTTATCTATGCATGAGTGATAATTATTTTTCTTGAATTAATTATTTTTGAATGCAAATTGGGGACACATGTTTATTTAATGAAAAGATTCTTAATGTGTAATCTAAATGTTGAAAGAGAATTTATTTTGGTTATTTCTTTTTTTTCGAGTCTCTTGAGTTCATATTTTTTATGTGTACTAGTCCAACTTTGAGAAAATTTAATTGAAAATCATTATGAAGTTGACTAGGTCATATTGCTCATGAAAGTTATAAAGGTTATTGTTTTTATTTATTTAAAAAAGCACGTGTTTTGAAAAAAAATGATGAAGAAAGGAAAAATCAAAAGAATGCAGAAAATATTTGCTAAGGAAAATGCTACCTATTGAGAATAGTTCAAAAGTGATGAGCGCTGAATATTGCATATTCGAGCTCCTAAATATACGTATGTTAAGGCTTAAAGTGATACTTCTATCCATTGTTAGACTGATTTATGTTTAATGTGTGTTTATAGGTACTTTCCCAGAGAAACGGTTAAAATCGGGATTTTATGATGAAAAGACTGATATCGAAGCTTACAGAGTCGTTGCCGGTCATTCAGAGCAAGCCAAGAGCTTAAATGATGAAGTTTGGAAGAATTCAGGATCCAAAGCTAGAGCTTAAGTCTTGAGGCTTGAGCCCTACAAGTAAAAGAAGAAAAATCAGTAAGGCATTAAAGCTCGAGCCTTGCACCTCCAGAGCTCGAGCCTTACCATAGGGTGCTCGAGCCCTAACTAAGGGTACTCGAGCCTTGACCCTTAAGCTCGAACACAAGGCATCGGAATTTGAAGAGTTGATTTAATGAAAACCCAGCTCCCAGGGACCTCGTGCCAAACCTCAAGGATCGAGCACCATTACCCAAAGCTCGAGCCTTGAGTACCTAAAGCTCGAGCCCGGTACCTAGTGCTCGAGTCCATGAAGCTTGGATCGAGTAATGTTAAAAGAGATGAAGCCTAGAAATATTCACATGTTGAAGAAAAAGACGCTTCAGAAAATAGTTGAAGAAATTTGGCTAAGTGTCAAAGTGAAGATCGAGCACCACTTCTTGAAGCTCGAGCAACAACTCAATGAAGCTCGAGCCTTGTTCCCAAAGCTCGAGCCCGAACCTCAAAGCTCTAGCTCTTGTACTTAAAGCTTGATCCTTCCATGACATGTCAGATTTAAGTTACGGGATTGTTGATCGAATGCCCTAATCCATTAGTTTTGATGATAACAAATCAGTTAAAGAAGTTTTATACTAATGGTTTAACTGAGTTTAAATGCAAGGAAATGAATGCTTCGTTATAGAAAAGAAGAAAGGAACTTCATGTCATCATATGGTCACTTAAAGCATCAAGAGGCTGCAAATGTTCTACAAAGTGTTCATGAGCATCTAAAGGCTTTAAGAAGAAGGGTAGCTATGGGAAAGTGTGTCAGAGTAAACGATGGAATTAATAAAAGCTCCATCTCACTATAAATATGCATACAAAGTGTACTCAACAAAATTCAAAGGGTCAAAATATGATCTTATCAATCTATAATAGAAAAGGGCTTAAAATAGCAAGATCAAGCAATTCATGTCAACTGGTTTGATGCATGTGTCGACTGGTATCTAGGCAGTAGCAAATTTCAAGATAAAGCTCATTTACGTCGACTGGTTTGATGCATATGTCGACAAGTATCTAAGTAGTAGCAAATGTCAAGATGAAGCTCATTTATGTCGACTGATTCAAAGCATACATCAACTGGTTCAGGAGGAAAATGTCGACCGGTTTGCAGCATACATCAACCGGCTTGTAGAATACATCAATTGGTTTATGCCACATGTCGACCGGTTTGGTCGCAGCTCTGCAGATTCAAATTTCAAACGGATATAATTTCATTTAATGCTCCCAACCACCTGCAACAGCTATATTGAGTTCGAATTTTCTACAAATACAGAGGGTTGATCTAGAGAAAAATACATACTACTTGAGAGAGCATTCAAGAACATCATTCAAGTGCATTCAAGATCATTCAAAGAGTCCCATATTCTGATCTAAGCATTTACTTCTCATCTTTTTCTCTCATATCAGTTTAGAGACTTGAGCTTCATTTATTTCATCCACTTACTCTAGTGTGAGATTGATTCTTGTAATATCTTCTAGAGAGAGAGAGAAATAATATTGTAACTTTCATTTATATCTCTACAATCTTGTACGGGTTGATGTGATCCAAATGAAAAGCCTAGGAGAAGGGTGTTCTCCTAGCAAGGAAAAGAAGCAAGGTCTAGCTTCAATTGAAGGTTTGCTCTCCACCATTAAGGAGAAGCTCTAGTGATTTTGGAAAGTCTCAAGGGAGGACCTTAAGCCGAGGAGTAGGAGCTTCCGAACCTCGCTAAATCGCTAAGTCACTGTTTGTAATTTCCTATCTCTATCTCTTTTTACTTATGCTTATATTGCTTGAATATTTCAATTGTGTATTGCATAATAATTATTTGGAAATAAATTTTATAAATTAAAAAATTGGCCATTGACTCTATTCACTCCCCTTCTAGAGTCAATTAGTGACTAACAATTGGTATTAGAGCCTAATCTCTAGAAAAAGATTTAATCATCTTAGAGAACAATCATAGCCAATACAATGTTTCATCGAGAAGGTCAATCTAACAATAGACTTCTTTGGTTTGATGGAAGTGACTACAACTATTGGAAAATCAAAATGAGAGCATTCCTGAGAGGCATAGATATAGATGTTTGGAAATCCACCGAGCAAGGAGACCATGTTCCAACCAAAATAGTAAATGGTGAAAATGTTCTAAAAACCGATATTGAATGGACCCTTAATGACCGTAGGCTTGTTCAATACAATGTCAAGGCTATCACTAATCTCTATTGTGCCTTAAGTAAAGACGAATTCAATAGAATTTCGGATTGCGAAACAGTCAAAGAAATTTGGGATAAACTTGAAGTTACCTATGTAGGAACTAGTCATGTTAATAAATCCAAAATGAATATGCTCGTCCATAAATATAAACTTTTTACCATGAACAATAAAGAAACTATTAGTGAAAGGTACTTTTGTTTTAAATGTATTCTCGTTTTACTAACATTATGAATCTTTTGAAGGCTTTTGGAAGGTCATATACATCATCCGACAATGTGAGAAAAATTCTTAGGTCTTTTCCTAAAAATTGGGAAGCTAAGAAGACTGCCATCCAAGAAACCAAAGATCTCAACACACTTCCCATATATGAACTCATTGGTTCATTAATGGCTTATGAGCTAGAAATGAATGATAGAGATGAAGACAAAGAAACTCAAAAGAAGGATATAGCTCTTCAAGCTACTACCAAAGAAGTCGCAATTGATAAGGCTCCTAATGATGAAGAAGAAGAAGAAATTGCTCTTATTACCAAAACCGTGAGAAGGGTCCTTCAAACGAAGAAGTACCAAAAGGGTAACAACTTCAAAAGAAATAGTTCATCTAGTGAGCAAGGAAAAAGAGAAGTGCCTACTTGTTTTCATTGTGGAAAATTGGGACATTTCAAGTTCGATTGCTATACTTACAAAAATGAAAAGGAAAGGAAAAAGAAAGGCAAAGCCATAAGAGCTACATGGGAGGATGATGATTTAAATGGATCCGAAAGTGACGATGAACTCAATGAATTAGTCAATCTTTATCTCATGGCCGATAAAGATGAGGTAAATTCTAATCATGACTCATTTGATTTGGAAACCACTTATGATGAATTGGTTGATGCTCATAACTACTTGCTAGATGATTTTAAAGAATTGCATGATGAATTAGGCAAAATGGTTCAAAAATGTGCTAGTCTTAAAAGAAAAAAGTATCTTATCTTTCAAAACTTTGAAAAATCTCAACTTGAAAATCAAGCTTTGAAAAAGGAAAAAGAATTAGCTAAAGAATCGGCCTCAATTGACTTAATTTCTGAAAATTAATCATTGAAGGTCATTATTGAGGACCGAACTAAGATTTTAGCTAAATTCACAAAAGGTAGAGAGAATTTAAGTCTTATACTTGGAAAGCAAAGAAATGCATATGCTAAGGATGGACTTGGATATGATCCTCATAACAAAGATTCTTGTTTATTGAAAAAGAAAAACCTTTGAACAACTATTTTGTTAAAAGTACCTTTTTCAATCCAAAATGCAATTATTGTAAAAAGTTAGGACATAAGATCAATCATTGTCTTATTAGGCCATGTATGACAAAAGAAATTTGGGCTAGTAAAGGGACATATATGCCTCTACCTAACTCTCATGGACCCAAGAAATTGTGGGTACCAAAAGAAGATTACTTCAATTCCTTTTATAGGTTTGCTTGAAACCTCCATATTCATCCAAGGACAAATGGTTCCTTGATAGTGGATGCTCAAGACATATGACGGGAGATCGATTAAAATTTCTCTCTATCAAGTCTCACAAAGGAGGAAGTGTTACATTTGGAGATAATTCAAAAGGCAAGGTCACCGGCATCGGAACTATTGGTATATCCTCTTCCTTATCTATTGACAATGTCTTACTTGTTAAAGGCTTAAAACATAACTTGTTTAGTATTAGCCAACTATGTGATAAATGATATGATGTGTTGTTTAAATCGGATAAATCCATTGTCAAAAAGGATAATATTGAAGTATTTCATACTCTTAGAAATGGTAATGTGTATACTTTGCTTTTGTGTGAATTATATGGTCAAGATGTTAAGTGCTTTGTATCTTCAAATGAAAATAGTTGGTTATGGCACCGAAGGTTGGGTCATGCTAGCATGGATTTGATCTCAAAATTATCTAAAAATGAATTAGTCAAAGGCCTCCCAAAGAATAATTTTTCAAAAGATAAAACTTGTAGCACATGCCAAATAGGCAAACAAATCAAATCGTCATTCAAAAGGAAAAAGGACATAACAACTATAAGACCACTTGAATTAATTCATATAGACTTATTTGGTCCGGAGAGAATTGCTAGTCTTGGTGGTAAACTCTATGCATTTGTCATTGTTGATGATTTCTCTAGATTCATTTGGGTATTTTTCCTTACACACAAAAATGAGGCTCATACAATCTTTGCCAAATTTTGTAAAAGAATCGAGAACGAAAAAGAATGTAAGATTAAAGCCATTAGAAATGATCGAGGGAGATAGTTCGAAAACCAAGATGTTAAAAGATTTTGCGATGAAAATGGATACAATCATAATCTTTCGGCTCCTAGAACTCCTCAACAAAATGAAGTTGTTGAGAGGAAGAATAGGTATCTCCAAGAAATGGCTAGGACTATGTTGAATAAACATAAATCTCCTAAGACTCTATGGGCCGAAGCCGTTAGTACCTCATGTTGTGTCATAAATCGAGTCATTATTAGAAAACTTCTCAACAAAACTCCTTATGAACTTTGGAACAAAAGGAAGCCCAATATTGGTTACTTTAAAGTCTTTGGGTGTAAATGCTTTGTATTAAATGATAAAGATAACCTAGGAAAATTTGAACCTAAATCAAATGAAGGTATCTTCCTAGGATATTCAACTCATAGCAAAACATTTAGAGTATTCAATAAAAGAACACTTGTGGTTATTGAATCTATACATGTTGTATTTGGTGAATCACCATTACCCCTTCTTAGATGCTATTTGGATGATAATGAGGATGTAATTGAGATTGAAAAGGATCTTGAAAATCTTAATTTAAACGATCCATCTCTAGAAAATCTATCCAAAGATGATCCAAAAGAAAGCCACTCTTATAAAGATACACTTCCTAAGACTTAGAAGCAAGCGCCTCATCATCCAATCAATCAAATTATTGGCGATCCATCTAAAGGAGTAAGTACTAGATCTCAAATGAGCAATATATGTAATTATGTTGCCTTTGTCTCACAACTTGAACCAAAAAATATTCATAAAGCTGAAACTGACGAGTCTTAGCTCTTGGCAATGCAAGAAGAACTCAACCAATTTGAAAGAAATGAAGTTTGGCAATTGGTTCCAAGACCTAAAAATAAGACCATCATTGGCACAAAGTAGGTATTTAGAAACAAGAAGGATGAATCGGGAACAATTGTGAGAAATAAGGCAAGGCTTGTTGCTAATTGATTATGAAGAAACCTTTTCCCCTATAGCTAGACTTGAAGCTATAAGAATGCTTCTTGCATTTGCATCCCATAAGAACTTTAAGTTATATCAAATGGATGTAAAACGTGCTTTCTTAAATGGCTTCATTGATGAAGAAGTGTTCGTAGAACAACCACCGGGCTTTGAAATTTATGATTGTCCAAATCATGTTTACAAATTCTCAAAAGTATTATACGGTTTAAAACAAGCTCCAAGAGCTTGGTATGAAAGACTAAGCGGATTTCGACTTGAAAATGGTTTTTCTAGAGGAAAAATTGATAATACGCTATTTACTAAAACTATTGATAGCAACCTATTGATCGTTCAAATTTATGTTGATGATATTATTTTTGGATCATCCAATAAAATGCTATGTGAAAAGTTTGCTTCTTGGATGCAAAATGAGTTTGAAATGAGCATGATGGGTGAACTTACTTTCTTCTTAGGATTGCAAATTAAACAAACACTTGATGACATTTTCATGTGTCAATCGAAGTATGTTAAAGATTTGCTAAAGAAATTTGACTTGGAGAAAGTCAAACATGCCAATACTCCTATGAGCTCATCTTTGAAACTTGATAAAGATGAAAAAAAGGTTAATATAGATATTAAAAAGTATAGAGGTATGATTGGTAGCCGTTTGTATTTAACCGTAAGTAGACCGGACATCATGTTTAGTGTTTGTTTATGTGCTCATTTTCAATCTTGTCCTTAGGAATCTCACTTAAGTGCCGTTGAACGGATTTTTCGTTACTTGAGCAATACCATAAATTTAGGTCTTTGGTATCCTAGGCACACCTCATTTGATCTTCGGATGCTGATTTTGGCAGATGCAAAGTTGATAGAAAAAGCACTAGTGGGACATGTCACTTTCTTGGACAATCCCTAGTGTCTTGGTCTTGCAAGAAACAAAATTTCGTGGCTTTATTTACGGCCGAAGCTGAATATATTGCAGCCAGAAATAGTTGTGCTCAAACTCTTTATATTAAGCAACAACTTGAAGATTTTGGACTTTTCCTTGATTATATCCCTATTATGTGCGATAACACAAGTGTAATATGCATTTCTAAAAATCCTATTCAACATTCAAGGACAAAGAATATTGAAATTAGATATCATTTTCTAAGGGATCATGTGTCAAAAGGCAACATTGTGGTCACATACATAAGCACTGAGATGCAATTAGTGGATATATTCACTAAACATATTCAAGAAGATCAATTCTGTTCACTTAAAAGGAACTTAGGAATGGCTTGTGCAAATGAGGTGGTCCAAACTTGATAAAAGGCATGGTTTAGCATACTTTCTCCAACCGGTTGACGTTTCCATACCTTACATCAACCGAATTAAGAGAACCGGTCGATGCTTGTAACTTTTACGTCAACCGATTCCTGTGATGGTTCATTTTTCCACCTGTGATATTACTTAAACCGTGACATCATTATTTTTTTTACTTTTCACTTTTCACTTCTCATTTTCTCTCACTCTCGTTCTCTTCCCTCTTCAAGGTGACTTAGGGCCCCCTTCATTCCCGCATCATTCAAAGTAAGTAATTCCTACTTTAGTTCTTGCTTTAATTTGCATCCTATGCTTATCGTAAATACTGAAGCTGTAATATCTTTCTTGATAAATCCTAATCTAGGGTTCAAAGTTTAATTGTTGTGTTCTCTTTTGCCTTTCGAAAATTTAATCTTCCTAGTTCTTAGTTAATATCAGTTAATCATTGGGTGTCATAATCTTTAGGTTCAATCCATGTTATATCTACATGTGTACTAATGTTTATAACTCTCTGTATCGTTTCTTCAAAATCCTGATGTGTCAATTAGGGGTTTCACTGATTTAACTTAAATTACTCTTGTTAATCTACATACATATAAGCGATATCTTCACATCAAACCCTATCTTAAACTGTAATGACCCGGTCATTTTCATTCCTTTCCTTTTCTCAGATTTTCACAGATTTATTTTTTTTTTTCATTGATCTTTTCCTTTCTGAGTTCAGTTTCTGGTCACTTAGTGTCATCTTGAGTGTTCGGGAATAGTTTCCGAGACTCTTTTCTGTGAATTGACGACTTCCTTTGAGAGCCGAGTCATTTTCACATTTTCACTTTTGTGACACTATTCACCTTTCGTCTTTTTCTCGGTTGTCACTTGTTGGCATAACCTCACTTTTTGTGTTCGGATTTGATTCCGGTTTTGCATGCATCCATGATATTTAAATTCATGCTATGTGTATTTTCACTTTTGTAGAAAAGCATGTTAAGTGTTTACTTTTCTTGTAAAGGGTATAGATGCAAGACGTTTTTGTAATTTTCTAAACTTTAGGGGTTTTTGTGTAATTACTGTAAAGTAATTATTTTTCATCTTAGGGACCATTTTGTACCTTAATTTGGAAGATATTTTCAAAAAGGACCTTTTTGCAATTTTCGGAAAGTGTGACAAGTGTCACACTCTCATTGGTCCACTTGTTGACATTTGTGTGGAGACACTTTGAGGCCATGGATGAGGACATGTGGAGGGTGGAGATTTAACCACTCGTTGGCCTAGGATTGGTGCACTTGTTTGCTTGGATGGTTGACAAGTGTAGGCTTGAGATTTAGCCTAGGATGGAGCCTTGGATCTGTGACAAGTGTAGGCTTATAATTTGATCTTGCATTAGTGTGTGTGTGAGAGGTAGTGTAAGAGCACATAGTGAGTGGAGGATCTTTATCCCCTTCACTCACATTTCATCATCATCATTTTTCATTTCCTCCCTCTCTTGTAAAGAAAACCCTAGCCTCCATGGATGGAGCCTAAAGCCTTAAGCTTTGACCTTGATTTTTGAGAGTCTTCCATTGATTTCCAAGCTTGAACTTGGGAATACATTTTGTTCCCCTCATCTTCCTCTTCATAACCCTAGAAGGGTTTGCCATTTTGTGTTGATTTTGCCTTGGATTCTAGAGAGACACTTCTCTAGTGAGGTAGGGGATGTTATAGGGTTATATTTTTGTTTCTTGCATGCTATTGATGCTTTTAAAAGTTGTATGCACGTCTTTGGCTAATTTGATAAATTAGTAATTTATCATATCTTACATATAAATCATTTTAGACTTGGTAAATGACATGACCATGAGTTGATCTTTGACATATGTTAATTTGAGATGATTTATATGAGTTTTCAAATCTAGAGATTAAATGAATTTAATTTGATTTAAATTCTAGTAAATTGTGTTTTGCTTGTATCCCATTATAGATTTGAGATATGGTATGACCATGATTTGGTGCTTGTTATATGTTAATTTGGGATCATTTGAACAACTTTTGAAATCTAGAGATTTAATTGATTTAAATTAATTAAATTCTATTTGATGATATCTTGCTCATCTTGCACTTTTGATTTGATATATGTAAAGACCATGATATGTTGCTTAACATATATTAATTTGAGATTATTTGAAATCTAGATAATTTAATTATTTTGTTTAATTAAATTCTATCTAATGGCTCCATGGATCTATTGGTATTTTAGAAGTTGTTCCTATATTCAAATCATAGACTTGAACTTGTTATGTATTCACTTTGTTATGTTTTGAGCATTGGACAACTTTGTTGTTATATTTATATTCATGAGAACATGTTTTCTTTATGGAATATATTGATGCCATGTGTAGTGAATTACACACTTTGTAATTGACATTATGTATGTCATTTTAGAATTGAAACTCTAAGGCATGGATTGTGTGGTTTCAACCTACTTGTGCATGGAAGGTGTTTTCATGCATTATATAAGTTATGTATAAGTTGTGAACTTATTTGGTTTAATTTTGGAGTCTTGGAACATTGTTGAGTTGAGATGGCTAGGGTTTGGCTCTAGTACGGGGACGTGAGTCCTCTAAGTCATTGAGATAGTGCGCACTTAGGGTGGTCTTCCCTGCGGGTTAGTGCCCGGAATAACTATTGAGGTCTCGGCAGAATTCCGAGCTTAGATGTCCAAGACTTCCACTATTTGTTTTCGCATTCAATTCCAAGTTAACAATCATAGTTATATTGTAACTTGTGGTTTTGGTTATTGGCGATTTTGATGTTGTTAAGTACATTCATGTTTATGATTTTAATGAATTATTTTGACGTTGTTAAATACATCTATATTTTATGATTTTTGTGAATCATTTTGATGTTGTTAAGTACATCCATACTAAATTGCTATATTTAGTTGATTGCACACTCTTAGATTTCTAGTTGATAACCTAGAGAACCTATGTCTTGATGTGTGGTATTAGATATTCTAATTATGCTAAATTGTTATATTTAGTTTATGTTGCATTTTAGACTTCAAGTTGATTACCTTGAGAATCTGTATGTTGTTGCTTTGTGTAAGCATGCTCCTATGCTGTTGCTTTGTGTAAGCATGACCCTATGTTGCTAAAATTGCATGAATGAGGTGATTGATGCTAGAAATGATCCTAGGTAGTTAGGATGCTCCTTGAGTCTCACCTTTGACATAGACGTTAGGTGGAATGAACCACAATAATTAAATCATGCAAACTTGTAAAACGTAGGTCGATGCATGCTCATTTTCTACGAGTAGCTTTATGTTACTCACCCCTATAATACTGGGGCATATTTCAGGTACAAGAATCAAGGTTGCGATTCTCGTCATGCTTGGATGATTGGTGGACTTGAAGATTTCAATTTCTTGTAAAGGTTGGCTTGAAAAGCCACTTGTAGCCCTATTTGTAAAAATATGTATATTTGAATTTAAACATGTAATGTGTATACGAGTACGCTCTTTATAATGTATTTGACATGTATGAGATGAGGCCGGAGGCCAATGACATGTATTTGTATTCTATGTAGTTTTGACTTCATGAAATATTATGAAAATGTTAAAAAATGTTGAGTTATTGTCTCACTATGTTTGCATCGGGTGTGGGATTTCCGTTTTGATTCTTCCGTAGGATCTCATTAATCATGCATGATGTGTGGCCAAGGGCCAAATGATAATTTCCAATCATTTGCTAATTTTGGTTTTCAAAATATCCATTTCAAATTCATTTTCGCTTTTTTGGCCGTTGGGGGGTCGGATTTTAACTCGACCATTTCTGAGAGCCGCGGACCATTCCCGCGCACTCAAAATCACTTATTACATTTGTGTGGACATTCGTTTCAGCTTAGAAGTGCACTTGGGGTCAAAAGTATGTTTGGTGCAAACTTACATTTTTTGCCGTTTTGAGCCTAAACTGAGCATAAGGGCATTTTGGGGTTTTCACATGAAAAATAAAGTTTTCTTTTGGCATGGTTGGCTAGAAAACATGATTATGAGGGTAGTTTCTTCTTTGTGTTTTTCACAAAAAGGCCCAGAAAGTCCTCAAAATTGCATTTCAAGTCAGCATTTCAGGTGCAGTTACAGGAGTTCGAGCGCTCTAAAGGGGAGTTCGAGCGCTCGAAGTTTGGGCAGAAAGTTTTGGCCTCGGGCATGTACTATTCGAGTGCTCGAAGTTCTAGTTCGAGCGCTCGAAGTACTGTTCACGGGTGCATGTGTGTCTTGGTTCAGCACTGCACCTCCGACTTCAAATCATCATAACTTGTTCGTTTCAACTCCGAATTGGTCTGTTCTTGAGTCTAAATTGACCGCGTCGAAATAAGATTTCCAATGGTACTAATAAGAGATTCATATTATTCTTGTAGCTTAAGTTATTCAAGTTTTAGTAAGGTAGTGTCTGTTTTTGGTTCGAACCGGGATAGGGTTTCCCATCCGTCGACTTCAGAACTTGATATCCCTGTCATTCGGACTCCGAATCAGGTGATTCTTGAGTCTAAATTCATTAATTTTTCATTGTCTTTCCAATGGCGTGCACGGTGGTACCCATTTCAGTGTAGAATGACCATTTTAGCCCTAGGTTCATTCTTATCTGTTTTTGAAACGTTGCTTCCGCATTTACTTCCTTTGGGTTTCATGACCTCGTTGAGGGTCACATTGGTGTCATAGAGGAGTGTTGTATCTCTTGAGACCATTGTTCTATCTTTTACTTCTGCATTTTGGATCCATTTCAGGTCATCACAGGACACACAGGGTTGAAAAATTCAGTCGTCACAGGTGATATCAGAGCTCCTAGGTTCGAAAACCTTAGGACGACGGGTTTTGGGTGCATATCATGCTTTTGTTACCATACTCTATGTGTTTATATGCTTTATGATAACATGTTTTGGTTGATAACCTGTTTATGTACTTACGTGCTACATGTTGTATGCTATTTGTTTTGCATTGTTTTATTCTAATTTAAAGAGTATGACATGTGATGTGTACTAGATTAGATTTGTATATGCATAGTAGTGTTGCATATTTGGCAGGACTTGGGATTAGTCATTGGACGTTTGAGTTGAGACTGAGTCGTCTGGTGAGTTTTCACTTAGTACAATGGTTGGTGTAATTGGTTTTATTTTGGCATTCTTACTTGAGGTTGTTGGTGATTGTCCACATGGTTTTATGGTAGTATAGGTTGTTGTCGACCTAGCATTGGTTTGAGGTAGGTGGTGAGACACCTTTTGTTTAGGCTCTCGTGAGGTGAGTCATTTGGTATTGCCGTAGTGCTGGATTTGTTGGTTTTGGGCCACGATGAGGTCGTGGACCTCTTAGGATCCTTAGTTGGTCGGGATGATTCCTCTGGGATTGCAATTTTCGTGGGCGGGTATGTTTGTGGGCGGGTGCATGGCACTGTCATGCTACCGTACTGGCGAGCTACAAGTGCAATTCGGATGGAATCAATGTTGGTTTTGTTGTGGTAGGCGTTGTCCTTTTGGTTGGTGATGATGTGAGTTTTATTTGAGCATCCAGTGTTGAGACGGTGATTGATAGTCGTTTTGGGAACGACTTTGGAGATCGATTTGATTGTTCGATTGTATGGCTAAAGCAGCCATTTTATTTGAGTTCTTCTTGCGTGATGACGCTTTTGGGATCGAGTCGATTGATCTATATTTTGGGTTGGTGAGAGCATTGCATTGTTAGTGTCATTTATAGTGTCACCTCTAGATTCAGAGTTGGATTGTTGGAGTCTTACCATTGTGGTAAAGGCTCACGTTTGTTTTGAGATAGGTTATTGTCGCATTGGTTTTTGGAGACAATTATGGCTAGGACTGGTCTTTCCTTTTTCTTAGATACTCTAGGACACGATGTCCATAGGGCTCATTATTGCATCATTTTGTTTTCTATAGTTTCATTTACTACCATGTTAGTAGTATGATTTATGTTATTATGATGCATAAGTAGGTGGAGGTCTATCCACAATTGCCTTCTTGTTGTGTGGCATTAACATGCCTTCTTTATATGCTTAGAGATGCCATATTGTTATTGCGCTTTAGTGACATGCTTTTGTGCTTACGTGGAGACGTGTTGCATGTACCTTTGATTATTATCTATGTGAGTAGATTTATTTCTTGGTAGTTGCATTTCCTTGTCATATGCATAACTTCCAGGTTTGGTTTTCCCCATTCGTTTCCCTCGGTCGCACGTAGTGTGTATACGGGTTTCCACAAGGGTTTTGTGTTGGTTCATGTTAGGGACTTCACAAGGAGTGAGTCTCTTCTCTTCGTTGCAGTGTGCACAACTATGGGGTTGGTTGGTCCGTGAGGATCACTATCGTTGTCTTAAGTCCTTGGTGAGGATTTGATGGATTTTGGTCGACTTACTTCCATGTAGGGGGTGAAGTCTTTGACCTTGCTGTCTTTCATTTCAGAGATGGAGTCGTGGTGTTGTCCTTCTTAGGACTGGTGGTTCCCTTTCTTTCATGTCTTCCCTTGGGGAGTTTTTGCCGTGGTTGTTGACGGGTTGTGGTGCTCAGAGTGAGTGGATTGGGGTGAGATCATTTTTCGGGGACTGGTGTCCATATTATTAAGGATTTGTTTGATTCGTGAGGTGAACTCGTTGCTCTTTTGAGGATGCCTTTTGGAGACTTGTTTCAGTTTTGGAGACCTTGATGTGGTTGACTCTTAGGAAGAGTTTTGAAGGATCGTTGTTGGATACGGTTTGTTTATGGAGTTTTCTCGTCCTAGTATGACTAGGTGTGGTTTTGAGGAATTGTTGTTCCAGTGATTGTTTATGGATTGAAATTGAGGAATTTTGATTTAACTTGGTGTTTCCAATTACGGTTTTGAAAGATTCATTTTGTGACCTTGGTTGTTGGCATTTTGATGTGTGTGCCACTTGGTGGATTTATATTTGGAGGATTTAGTTATCCATGATAGGGATGCAGATCTGATGACGGTGTAGTCTTGTAGTTGATCTGTTTCAGGGAGATATGAAGGACTTTCGATGAAATGTCTTATCGTGAGGTTCGTTTTGATTTCTGTAGGCGTTGACTTGCTTGTCAGGTTTTGGATTCCTGATTAATGTTGTTAATAGGGGTATTTTGAGACATTGGAGATGTTGGTTTTTGCTGTGTTGAGGATTTGGGGCCTTAAGCATAACGGTACCTATAGCATTGTTGTCAGAGTTTTGGAATTGGCCAGGATGGTCCGGCTGGACATCTTTGGACCATATCTCAACTCTCACAAAATGTTGGTCCCCGTAGTGCTTTTGGTAATGATCATTTTTGACATTGACGTCACTGGTATCGAGAGGTTTCATGGGTAGACCTAGTGGGGGGCAGGTTATGAACTAGTGCCTTATACTGTCATGCTACCGTACAAAGTTGTGTGTTGTGGGCGAGTACTAGTTGCCGTCGATGCTATCTTACTGACGAGTAAGTGTGGGCGGGCATTAGGTACTGTCATTGCTACCACACATTTGAGTGCATCGTGGGCGGGTTTTGGTCATTATTCGTACTGCCACGTTGTGTTTGTTCTGTACCCTGATTTGATAAGTGATTATTTTGGAGTCCTTTTTGGTGGATGTGTTTTGGATCCGTTTGATGGTTCGTCAGGAGGGATGACTACCGTTGTTGTTTTCCGTTCCTTTGTTTGACCTTGGGTTCTGTGTGTGACCTTTGACTTGTTGTGTGGCCATGTAGTCACTTTTCCTTTGACAGGTTGTCTTGTCATGAGCACGTGGGTGCAAATGACACTGGGTTGTGGGGTTTCTTTCAGCTTTGAGGTCGGTTTTGTAGCGTGTTGTGTGGGATACTCGGAGATGTACTCTGTGGTTTTCCTAGTTTTGCCTTTTGTTGGTTAGAGCTGGATTTCGGGGACGAAATCCTTTTAAGGTGGGAAGGTTGTAATGACCCGGTCATTTTCATTCATTTCCTTTTCTCAAATTTTCGCGGATTTTTTTTTTTTCCATTGATCTTTTCCTTTCTGAGTTTAGTTTCTCGTCACTTAGTGTCATCTTGAGTGCTCGGGAATGGTTATTGAGACTCTTTTCTGTGGATTGACGACTTCCTTTGAGGGCCGAGTTATTTTCACATTTTCACTTTTGTGACACTATTCACCTTTCGTCTTTTTTATCGGTTGTCACTTGTTGGCATAACCTTACGTTTTGTGTTCGGATTTGATTTCGGTTTTGCATGCATCTATGATATTTAAATTCTATGCTATGTGTATTTTCACTTTTGTAGAAAAGCATGCTAAGTGCTTACTTTTCTTGTAAAGGGTATAGATGCAAGACGTTTTTGTAATTTTCTAAACTTTAGGGGTTTTTGTGTAATTACTGTAAAGTAATTATTTTTCATCATAGGGACCATTTTGTAACTTAATTTAGAAGATATTTTCAAAAAGGACCTTTTTGTAATTTTCGGAAAGTATGACAAGTGTCACACTCTCATTGGTCCACTTATTGACGTTTGTATGGAGACACTTTGAGGCCTTGGATGAGGACATGTGGAGGGTGGAG